ATAATTATAACAATCATTGCATTACTTATCAAATATATGTTCGGCAACACTAGTGTCGACAGCACTCAACGGGTCGTCCATTAATACGATGTCTGAATTTGTGTATAGAGCTCTACATAATAAACAAATAATTTTAAAACGTAACATTTTTTAGAATTTTAAACAGATATTATTTTTTGTCTGATAAACAATCTAGAAGTAAATAGAACTGTAAATTATATAATATATAATAATTTATTTAAATCTATATATGATTTGAATAATAAACAAGTCACACACAGCTATGCTATACGTTAACCACAATTAAATTTCTCTGTGCAAGAGGGGCACATCGCTGAATCATTACAAGCATTGAAATGAATGTATTAAAAAAGATTTGTTTCTCTTGTATAGAGAAATTAATATCTAGTCAATGTAGAATTCATCGCTGAATTCGAATCGGGAATCTAAAATTTTTATTTTGAATATTTTTCGAGTTATTCGACTTAAAATGTTTTTTATTGAAAATTTTAAAATGACGTATTTTATTAATGTGGTATATGATTTCGATGTAGAATCTGACGCTGATTTTGGATTTTTAATTTCCAATCTTCTACATTAAATATTTATAAAGTTATTCAAATTTAAACATTATTAAGTCGAATAGTTCGAAAATTATACATTTAATTTTAAAACAAATTTGATAATATTAAAATCTACGTAAAACCCATATATCATTTATGTAAATTACGTCATTTTAAAATTTTAAATATAAAACATTTCTAAGTCGAATAACTCGAAAAATATTAGAAATAATACAAGGATCACACAGCGATGCTATACGTTAACCACAATTCGGTGAATGCATTAAAGATTTTTAATTTTTCAATACTATTGTTAGAATACTTTCACTATTATTATTTTGAGAATTTTAAATGTTTTTGACAACAATTAGTTCTATTTATTATGGCAAATTAATTTATAATCCCATTTTTCTATTAATATACCATTACTATAGATTTAAATAAATTATTATATATTATATAATTTACAGTTCTATTTATTATGGCAAATTAATTTATAATCCCATTTTTCTATTAATATACCATTACCCATGTTATCCCTATGCCATAGACTTAGCATTGCCCATGTTATTCCTATGCCATAGACTTAGCATTACCCATAGACTTAACATTGCCATAGACTTAGCACTGTCCATAGACTTAGGATTGCCCATGTTATCCCTATGCCATAGACGTAAGCTGTAATCCCATAGAAACCCATGTTAAAGCATTTTCTCATAGACTAACATTTGTCCCATAGACTTAACATGGAGAAAAACTACTTTTTCCGTTCATATTTCGCTTTCCCATAGGAAATAATCTCCCATAGGATTAACATTACCCATAGGATAACATTAGCCCATGTTAAGTCTATGGAAAAAGCTCCATAGGATTAGCACTACCCATGTTAAAGTATAGCCATAGACTTAAGCTGTAATCCCATGTTAAATCCCATAGAGCGGGGGGAAGGGGTAGCCGATCGATCCTATAAACCACATTATTCATACTGAATTGTGGTTAAAAATTTAGATTCCAGATTCGAACTCAGCGATAAATTCTACATTGACTACATATAAATTGTTTTATGCAAGAGAGACACATCTCTTTTAATTCATTGATTCAGAGATGTGCCCCTCTTGCACAGAGAAATTCAATTCAGGTATTGCTCAAAGAATAGATTAGCATTAGTCCCAAAGAGTAAGCATTGTCTACAGACTTAGTATATCTCATGTTAAATCTATGTCATAACTGTAATTCCGTAATCCTATAGAAACAAATTGAAAATTTCCCCATATGATTAACACATAGGATAACATTAGTCTATGTTAAGTCTATGGAAAAGCTCCATAGGATTAGCATTACACATGTTAAAGTATAGCAATAAGATTAACATGGGATCTTATTTTATTTCCCATTGAGTGGGGTAGGGGGCACAACTATTCTATAAACCACATTATTTATACTGAATTGTGGTTAAGAATATAAATAATAACAAAATTTTATTCTTGTCAAATCACTTGTCATTTCACTTATGAGTTTACTTGTTCCAATAATTTACATCTATTTATAAACAATATTTTAATTAATTATTTAACATTTATAATGTTGATTATTTTAAATTATGATTAATGCATAAATAATATATAAAGTTATTCTAAAAATAATGATTTCATTTAACTTTAATGAACTTTAAATCAATTTAATTAAAACAATTATTTTAAAAATTACTTTATTTTAAACTTTTTTTAAACTTTGGCACAAAAGTGAAAAACATACAATTTGTTTGTTGGAAGTTAGTTTACATTTTTGTATTGACTGTCTGTATGTGGTGTAAGTCCTATGGACTCTTCTTTAAATCTGTAAATTATGCTAATCTATATTTTAAGCAATACTCTAATTGTGGTTAACTTATAGCATCGCTGTGTGAGCCTTTTTTATTTTATAGCATTAAAATAAGTGAATACTACATAATATTTTAGAGTTTATACTAAAATGCACACAAACCTGGCTAACGTGATGCGGGCCTTCTGTCCCCCCGATAGCTGTACTCCTCTCTCACCGACTAATGTCTTGTCTCCGAACGGGAATAACTCGATGTCTCGCTCCAAAGCGCACACCTCTACCACTCGTTGATATCGGGATTCGTTATATTCGGTACCAAAGAGTATATTATTTTGAACACTAGTATTGAAACTCCAGGACTCCTGAGAGGCATAGCTTATCGATCCCACAGTTTCTATACTCCCCGACAGAAGCGGCAGCTCTTTTAAAATTGTCATCAATAGTGAGCTCTAAATAGTTTTTAATTAATTATCTGTGGATTTCTAGTTTATTATCCAATGGTGTCATACCTTTCCGGCCCCCACCGGTCCGATCACAGCCAATAAGTCTCCAGCTTTCAAACGTGCAGAAATATTTTGAAGGGTTGGAAACGGGCTTTCCTGTTGAAATTTTATAAATTATAATTAATAACATAAAAAACACAACATTATATTTTCACACATCACTCCATTTGGCGGTTATGTTATTAATGGACACTTCGGGCGATTGTTTGGCATTTGTTTCGTTTTCAAATAAATTATTTTGCTTTTGATTGGATTTTATTAGTGTTTCTTCTAATTGTAGAAAATGCTGAAAGTATAATCAGTAAATGTATAAATTATAATATACTTTATTATAGCTTTTTAATCATTGTAAATGGGACGTAGTTATTAGATCGAAAGACATTATCTCAAAGGACACGAGCTTAAAAGTCAAAATTTCGAAAGACATAAGGGGTGATTCACAAAGTACGTTCGCACTTTTTCAGAAATTTAGACCCCCCCTCCCCCCTATGTTCGCACTTGTTCGCATGTAGTCGTGTTTAAAGAGAAGTACGTTCGCGTGTCCCTATTATCCCCTCCCCCCCATGAAAACTATTTCTATTTAAAAGTCATATCTATTCAAAATTTGTTATCATCTTAAATAAAAGCTGTTATTAATAGCCTATTAATAATAGGAACAGTTGGTAGATACAGGTGTTATTAAAAGATTAACGTTGATAAAAACTAATCCTTTAAATTCTTCAAATTATTTAAATGCGAACGTTCTTAGTCTATTACCCCCCCCCTCCCCTTCGTTCGCAAAAGTTCGCTTTGGCCGACACCCCC